GTTGGGGCAGCCACAGCCTCCCTGGGCCACCTGTGCCATTGGCTCCCCACCCTCATAGGAAAAACCTCTTCCTAATACCTAATCTAAATTTCCCCTTTCAATTTCTCCCCATTCCTCCTTGTCCTGTCCCTGCAGTTCCTAACCAAGAGTCCTCTGCAGCTTCCCTGGAGCCCCTTCAGCTCCTGGCAGGTTGCTCTGAGGTCTCCACACAACCTTCTCTTCCCCAGGCTGAACAGTCCCAGCTCTCCCAGCCTAATGCCTGAGACCCTCTAGCAGCTCAGTGTTCCCCAGGCTGTGCTGGAGCAGGACTGGTCCCTGGCTGTGGTTAACTTAGCAGATGAAGCCAGGGAGGCCCTGAGGGAAGGTCACAGTGTGGAGTGTCCTGGTGCTGTGTGAGCCCATGTTGTGTCTCCTGCCCTGTGTCCCTGGAGACACTGATGTGCTCTCTGGGATGAGCCTGAACTGGGAGATAGGGAGGTTTGGCTGTGGATGAAAGAAGTCAGCTGGATGGGAAGTAACTCAGTGAGGTACAAGGCAGTGTCTGGAAAATGACAGTTAGGACTTGCAGAAGATAGTTTTGGGATAATTTGTTCCAAAAATACCAGCTACTCTCATTCTCCAAGTTTTATTAGAATTCTGATCTCCCAAGAGAGCTTCTCCTTTCCTTCTCTGCACTCAGAGAACATGCCATAGGCTTGAATCACCCGGAGCATCACTGCAGCTCTGGCTTTAGCTCCTTGCTTTGTTTCTCATTTTTGTCTACTGCAGGTTAGAGTGTTATGGTGCTGCTGACATTTATTTACCAGTGTCGTGTTCTGTAGGTGAAGATTTTCAACACAGATAAAAGGAGTGTTTGTGTTTTTCTCTCTAATGTTGTAGCTCAGAGCTTCATCCACTTTCTGGTACATCATTTTCTGGGCTGTGAGCTCTCCTCTCTGACAGATTTTAAACATGGAGTACAAACACAGGTGTCATCACCAAAGGAAGGGAGAGGACAGACACCCAAATGGAGAAGGAAAGATCATAGAATGTCCTGAGCTGGAAGGGACCCACAAGGATCACCCTGCACAGGACACCCCAACACTCCACCCTGAGCCTGACAGCATTGGCCAAACACTCCTTGAGCTCTGTCAGCCTTGGGGCTGTGACCACTGCCCTGGGGAGCTGTTCCAGTGCCCTGCCCAATCTGGGGGAACAACCTTTTCCTGATATCTAACCCAAACCTGTTCCAGTGCCAAACACCCTCTGGGGGAAGAACTTTCTGGGTAAAGTTGTCTGGAAAGAGTTGTCTGGATCATAGCCAAAACCACAGCTCTAACTACAAGGATATACTATGTCATATAATTATGGGAAAGACATTATACTACAACGTAGTTGTGCTGTACTCCAAGGGGAGGGGAAACTTGAGATATCTAACCCAAACCTGTTCCAGTGCCAAACACCCTCTGGGGGAAGAACTTTCTGGGTAAAGTTGTCTGGAAAGAGTTGTCTGGATCATAGCCAAAACCACAGCTCTAACTACAAGGATATACTATGTCATATAATTATGGGAAAGACATTATACTACAACGTAGTTGTGCTGTACTCCAAGGGGAGGGGAAACTTGAAGGTGATTTTGCCCAGGAATCCTCTGCAGCACAGAGTTAACCTCTGGGCAGTCTCAGGGGTTGTACAGTGGTTGTGAAAAGGCTCATGGGTGATGGGTTTTTTGCACCTCTTTCTGGAAGCTGTATGAATATTCCTTAGCAAGGTGCACAGCACCACAGCCAGAGCACAGACCAGGCTGGTTCCTGCT